TAGACCCTTTAAGTAGGATATAGTGTCCTTCTTCATCTCTTATTACAGTCTTTGTTTTAAAATCTAATTTGTCTGATATAAGGATTGCCACCCCAGCTTTCTTTTGGTGTCCATTAGCATGGTAAATGGTTTCCACCCCCTCACTTTCCATGTGGGGGTGTCTTTGGGTCTAAAATGAGTTCTTGGAGACAGCATATTGATGGGTCTTGTTTTTTAATCCAATCTGATAGCCTGTGTCCTTTGACTGGGGCATTGAGCCCATTTACATTCAGGATAATTATTGAAAGGTATGAATTTAGTGCCATTGTATTGCCTGTAAGGTGACTGTTACTGTATATTGTCTGTGCTCCTTTCTGATCTATGCTGCATTTAGGCTCTCTTTGTGCTTAGAGGACCCGTCTCAATATTTCTTGTAGGGCTGGTTTGTGTTTGCAAATTCCTTTAGTTTTTGTTTGTCCTGGAAGCTTTTTATCTCTCCTTCTATTTTCAATGATAGCCTAGCTGGATATAGTATTCTTGGCTGCATATTTTTCTCATTTGGTGCTCTGAAGATATCACCGGCATGGTCTTTTAAACCAGAGTAGTAGTTGAGAAGACAGGCAAAGGGAGGGCCTGGGGCCATGGGCATAAATGTAGATCTCCAGTCATAAAAATGAAGATATTATGGACTTTAATCCCTCCCCATCCTCACACATTAATGGGCTTGATGGACACCCACTATCTTTGGGAAGAGCTTCTGCCGGGGAGTTGGGTACCCTGGTTCCTGACCTGAGTCCACGGACTTAATGATTTTTGGTTTTTTTACATCTGTGGCCCCAAGTAAAGCACCATCAAGGATGCTAGCCTTTTGTACCCAGACGAACAGCATTCTAACTTAGAGACTAGGATAAAAGATGTTCTCACCCTTTCCTTATCCTGAGCATTGCTGTGCAACATTTTGATGATTATGGTGATGATGACTTTGGAGAGGGTGGCTTTTGCATCGAGGTGAGACATGAAGGGTCTTGCTGATGATTTCTGCTGTTCTCTAAACCAGAGCTTCCCATTGTTAACAGGAACCATTTGGGAGCCTGTTAAAATGCAGATTTTGATTTAGCAGATTCAGGGCAGGACCTGAGATTCTGTAGTTCTTGCAAAGTACCAGGGGAAGCCAGAGCCTACTTGTAGGAACAAGGCTTTACCTCTAAGTAGTCAGGACTATATACCGCAGTCCCCCTTTATCTGCAGAGGATACTTCCAAGCCTCGCAGTGGATGCCTGAAACTGTGGATAGTACTGAACCTTGTATGTACTGTTTTTTCTTATACATACATCACATCAGGTTCGATTTATAAATTATGCCCAGTGGGAGATTAACAACTCATAATAAAATAGAACAATTATAACAATCTACAGTAATAAAAGTTACATGAATGTTGTCTCTCTCTCTCTCTCTCTCAAAATACCTGACTATAGTACTCACCCTTCTTGTGATAATATGGGATGATAAAATGCCTGCCTGGTCAGGTGAAATGAGAATGACGCAGGCACTGTGACAGAGCATTGGGCTACTACTTACCTTTTCTTTTTTTTTCAGGTTTATTTATTTATTATTTGAGAGAGAGAGAGAGAGAATGGGGGGAGGGGCAGAGAGAGAAGGAGAGAGAGAATCTCAAGCAGATTCTGTGCTGAGTGCAGAGCCCGGCACAGGGCTCGATCCCACAACCTTGAGATCATGACCTGAGCCGAAACCAAGAGTCAGATGCTTAACCGACTGAGCCACTTTGGCCCCTGTACTACTGACCTTCTGACGATTTGATATAAGGAGGATCATCTGTTTCTGGACTGAGGTTGACTGGGTGACCTCTGTGGAAAGTGAAAACTAACTGCTTTTAGCTGCCTCTCACGGCCACCACTAGGTGGCAGCACATCTACCTCTCTGGCCGCTGTCGATTCTCTTTTCTCAGGACCAAGAACAGGATTGGAACCTTCCTTCTCAGGGTTTGTAATCTGTGATTCACTCAGAGAACCATTCCAGGTGTCTGAGGCCTTCTCTCTGCTGCTCCAGTGGGAGCCGGCTGCTTTCTGCTCTGTGCTCATGCAGGCACCTCAGACACAGCGCTCAGAGGACCCTGGAACTTTCTCTCTCTGTTGGTTTTCCCCACTGACGGGGCCTGGGACTCAGAGGCCCTGGTTCGTCATCTTACCATCCCTCAGCACCAAAGACGGTGCCCTGTTTTCAGCAAATGCAGGCATCTGGAATCGACCTAAAGGATGCTCAGGATACTTTCTCCTTACTATAAATGCAATGTTTTCTTTAAAAAAATTACAAAATATAGAAAAGGAAAACAAGAAAATATGAATTCTCCATAAACTCATCTGCCCCCCCAAATTAATATATTTGTGATTTGGTCATTTAGTCTTATTCCATGCTTTCATAATTATACATTTTTCTTTTCTTTTATAAAAAATGAAATAGGGACATAAATTTGAATTGATAAAATGTGTGTACTAAAACTTAATCAGTTTTGCCTTTTTTAGCTTGAAAGAAAAATTTCAGGCTAGGGCAAAATCTCTTTTTGAAATGATTTATTTCTATTTTCTAAACTTCTGAGCACTATTGCAATTTCAGAAGATCTCTTTTTGTTTTAATTTTTAATTTCAAATCTTATATGTCTACTAAATATCACTGTAGAAAATTTGTAAAAACATAGTTTTATGTAAAAAGAAAAATTTATTGTGATTATACTTTGGCATAGTTTATCCAGTCTTTTTGTTGGTGTTGTTCAGCACTTATGTAATCATCTTTTAAAAAGCAATCTGTGACTATAATATATAAGCGACTTTATATTCTGATGTTTCTTTTGTCTCTAACTAAGCTTATAGAAAACTTAGAAAAAAACTAGACAAATTCAGAGTAATAAATAAGCCACCCACGTCTACCCAGGGGTACCGTTGCCAGCACCTTTCCTTTTATGTGTCTTTACATTGTTAATATCATTCTCTGGTTTCTTTCCTGACATGTGGAACTTTCTCTGACCCATTGTTTACCTATTTTGAACCACACAACCATGCGTTTATTATACAACTGCATCTAATTGTACTGGCCATCTTAGTCTATTTCTGTTCAGTGTCAAGTAACTTTTATACTAATTTCCCTAGTGGAAGAATGATGTTCTAGAAAAGATTTTAATGGCATGAGGCTGGGGGACAAGTAACACATGATAGTGAAGGAAGTTGCTCCTTTTCCAAGGATCCTATTTCTCTGTAATGTGAGCTTTTCACCATTTCTGTGTGTTCATAGGTATTTTAGAATGAAGGTGGAAGGGACGAGTCACTGTTGGAGCACATAGATGTTTTCTGGGCTTCCAGATGAGGTGATGTAGGTCTTCCTTTGCTAAGTGGTTTCCATTTCTTTTTCTCTGGAGGATGGTGCTAAAGTGGGTCTTGCTTCTCTCTGGCACCTGAAGGTCTCTTGAGTAGAGGGCAATGAACCCTTGAAGTCAGTGTGTGTGCGTGTGTGTGTTTCTTGTGTTCTGACTTGATTTGTTGAAAGGTGACGCAGGTGTGCATCAGAAGGCACAGCAGGTAATGTTGGAGCTCTGCTTGGATCCCCTGGATCCCTTTCACCATTGTTGTGTGCCCCTCGACATGGGGGTGCCTTCACTTTGGGAAGCCAGCATCTAAGGCTTCCTCTCAAGGAGAACAGTGTATGGAGCCAGTTTTGCTGGGGCTCCTTCAAACTAGAAGTGCCTGAGAACTTACATCCTCCCAGGGCAGCCTATAGCCAGTGATAGATCGAGGTGAGAATTTGAAAGCCCGTCTTCCTGGCCTTGGATGGGGATAGCTGTGAGGGGTACTCTCACTCCAGAACTCCCCTGTGGGATCAGGCAAGGCCACCTGGCTTCCTTCTGACCCCTAATCTGCTTCCCACCTGTCACCTCCTTTGTGAATTACTTGCACACAAATCCTTGACCCAGGGCCTACTGCTGGGAAACCTGATGAAGGTAGGATGTTTTTCATTTTTTTCTCATTTTCAAATAGTCCATCTCTTTTAAAGTGTTCCTACTTTGTTAGAACACGACATTGAATATTTGCTCATCTCTGCACAATGTGACAGCACCTAATGCTGTGGGCCAGGCCCTTTTCATTGGGTGTGAAAACACGTCCAGTTTTGCTCCCTTATGTGCTCAGTAATATTCTATTTTAAGCAAGAGTGCTTTTTGAGTGTATCATCTGATAGCAAATAAAACATTTGTGCATTTCAACATTCTGTCAGGGGGGGTTTTCTAATCCTGACTACTTTCTCAAATAAACTGAACCAAGGAGATACTGTCTTCCCTTCTTTGGCCAAAGAGGTGGCTCCTGCCTCTTGGGTTTTTCTGCTGGCCAGTGAGACGCATGGGCAGCTGGCATGTGGTGCTAATCCCTCCTGTTGCTGTCACTTCCCTCAACTCTTATGTCAGTTATCTATTGCTGTGTAACACACTGCTCCCAAAATTTAGTCGCTTTAAACAACAAGCATTTATTTCGTCCGTGACCCTGCAGGCCAGCAGTTTAGGCTGGGTTGTTCTCATAGCTTTAACTGAATTCCTCCAGGAGGCTGTGGTCTTGCTGATCTTGGCCAGGCTCTTTCACATCTATGGACCCCCAGTTTGGACATCTGGACTGATTACTCTTTGTTCTATGCTGTCTCCTGTCCCCCCGAAGTTGAGACTGGACCTGTTCACTTGGCAGAGGCCAGGGTCTCAAGAGAGTGAATAGAACTAAGCCAGGCCTCTTGAGGCCCCACCTCAGAACCAGGACAAAAATCACACTGCCTTCTATTGGTCATACCAAGTCCAGAAGCCAGGCTGGAATCCAGGGTGGGGAAGAGAATAGGCTCCACCTCTTGATGGAAGGAGACCCGAAGTCATGGGGCAAAGAAGGGGCTCCGTGGAGGGGTGGCAAACTGGGGTAACTTTTGCAATCTCCCACAGCTGTGATCTCTGTATTCGGAGGCATCATGTGCTTGTTTTGCAGGACTGAACAATGGTGATGGACCTGTTAGTGAGACTGACATTTTCCGGAACGCCTCTGAGCAGCTGGTGAAGTACATGAACTCAGGAAACCGGCTACTGCATAAAAACTTTCTGAAGCAAGAAGTCGTTCAGAGGTTCTTGCGCCTTCTTTCTTCTCTGCAAGGTAACTTTCCTCACAACATTCAGTTGTGCCAAAGATGATTTATGCCCATTAGAACTCTTTTCTGACATCTGTAAAACAATTAATTATAAAAACATGAAAGTGATGAGCTATGTGTGAAACATTCAAATAGCACAGAACATTATTCAGCAGAAAGTCCGTATCATCCACCCTGAACATTAGTACCTAAGTCCCATCCCCAGCGTCAGTCTCTGTGTCTGGTTTTTCATGTATCCTGCTAGAAGTACTTTTGCCTATATGATCCCTTTTTATTTTATTTATTTATTTATTTATTTATAAGATTTTGTTTATTTGACAGAGAGAGACACAGCGAGAGAGGGAACACAAGCAGGGAGAGTGGGAGGGGGAGAAGCAGGCTTCCTGCGGAATGGGGAGCCCGACGTGGGGCTCGATCCCAGGACCCTGGGATCATGACCTGATCTGAAGCCAGACACTTAATGACTGAGCCACCCAGGTGCCCCTATACGATCCCTTTTTAAATATCCCGAGGGTGACTGGGTGGCTCAGTCG